TGGTTTGGGATGTGTGGTGTACGGCGTGTGGGAGGGTGGATGTGGGCAGCGTTGGGCGCCGCAAGGGCTGGGCTGGGGTGGAGGCGCAGCGCGCACAGCCGTTCCAACCCGCAGGGGCGGCGCCGTGCCCGCCCCAAGCACGCCAACCGTGCAACACACTATCGTACACACACACGCAACCGCCTCCCACCCGTCCCACCCACCCCCTCTTGCAGGGCGCGAAGCACTTCAAGGACATCCAGTACAGCCAGGGCGTGAGCTACGGAGAGATGTTCCTGCAGAGCGAGTACGAGATGAGCGGTGGGTGTACTGCCTGGGTGTAGTGGGCTGGCAGAGCGCAGCTGGCTGGGTGGAGCTGCCTTGGTGTACCTGCCTGGGTGTACCTGCCTGGGCGTGGCTGGCTGAATGGGCGGCACAGGGGAGGGTCCGGGGTGGTGCCCAGCTGGGCGCCGCCCTCGCGCCTTGGCATGCGCAGGCGAGGCCGCCGCCGCCGCCGCCGCCGCCTCGCTCGACAGCTGCTGGGCGGCCTGCCTTCCTCTGGTGGCGGCGAGGCGCCCAGCACGGCGTGCCTGCCACTGCGCTGCGCTTGCTCGCCTCTTCCCTTGCCCTCACCCTTCCACCCTGGCCCGGTGTCTTCCACACCTGGCCTCCTCCTGGCTGCCCTCTGCAGTCTATAATCTGGATGAGGCAGATGTGGAGGGGCAGCGCCAGCGGTTTGAGCTGTACGATCAGGTACCGCACCTTACCGCTGCTGGTACTGTCACCACCCGTACTGCCTGCTGGCACTACTCCTGTGCTGCGTGACGTGGCGTGATCAAAGGGCTCTGCCTGCGCGCCGCTTCGGCCGGCAAACGCACACCGCATGCCGCTCCGGCCGGACCCACTGCCGCCACCTGGGCTGCCCCCTGCGCCCGCCCGTGGCGTGCAGGAGGCGCGGCGCATGCTGGCCAAGCGCCTGCCTGTGCCCGCCTACGACCACCTGCTCAAGCTCAGCCACACCTTCAACCTTCTGGATGCGCGGGGGGCGGTGGGCGTGACGGGTGAGACGCCGCTGCATGCGTGGGTGGCAGTGGGCGACTGGCGGTGGGCGTGGCTGGTGGGTGGGCTCCTGCTTGGATGGAACACGGGTGCGGTGGGCGTGACGGGTTGGATGAAGCGCCACGGGGGGGTTGGCTGGCTGGTAGGCCGGCAGGGAGGCAGCCCAGACACCGGCCAGCGCACAGGCCAGGGCATCGTGCCAGCAGGCCCAGCAGGGTCAGCCTCAGCGGTGCCGCGCCTGCCCCGCTGCTGGCCTCCTCACGCTCCTGCCTCTGGCCCCCTCCCCGCCGCCCCGCCTCGCACGCGCAACCTGCAGAGCGCGCCAACTGCTTTGCCACCATGCGGTCGCTGGCAAGGGAGGTCACGGGGCTGTGGCTGGCGCGGCGCGAGGAGCAGGGATACCCGCTGGGCGTGGTACCGCCGCCGGAGGAGCCGCCTGCGCAGGCGGCGGCGCCTGCGGTCGACGTCCCCGGTGCGGGCCTGCTGCCGCCTGCTCTGCTGTCTCCTGCTGCTGGCTGCTCCGCCTCGCGTGGGTGGCTGGCGGCGGGCAGTGGAGTGCACGCTTGGGTGCGTGCTGCCCGCCGCTCATCGCCCCGCCGCCATCCAGCGGCCCTCTCGTGCCGCCTGTGCAGCCACCTTTGTGCTGGAGGTGGGCAGCGAGGAGCTGCCTCCCGACGATGTGGTGTCGGCCCTGCAGCAGCTCAAGGACCGCGTGCCGGCGCTGCTGGACCGCCTGCGCCTAGGCCACGGCGGCGTGACCGTGGAGGGCACGCCGCGCCGCCTGGCGGTGCTGGTGCACGAGCTGGCGGCCCGGCAGAGCAACAGCTCGGAGCGGGTGCGCGGCCCGCCGGCAAAAGTGGCGTACGATGCGGCGGGCACGCCCAGCCCCGCCCTCCTGGGGTTCTGCAAAAAGAACGGCGTGACAGGTGAGCAAAGGGCGCGGCAAGGCTTTGGTGAGGTGCATCCTGACCTGGTGTAGAGCTGCAGCGGCTGGGGCCATGCTGTGGCGACGGGGCGACGGCGCAAGGTGCTTATTGCGGGGGCCTCTCTGCCTGCCCTCTGTCCATCGCATGACACCAGGGTTCATGCACGCGTGTGCCCGCCCCTGCCCTCCAGTGGAGGACTGTTTTGCTGAGGTCGATGGCAAGGGGGTGGAGTATGTGTGGGCGGAGGTGAAGCAAATGGGGCGGCCCGCGGCAGAGGTGAGTGTGCCAGACTGCTGGCCGGCTGGGCGCCGCGCCGTGACTGCAGCAGGGCTCCCGCTCTGGCCGCGCCCGCCTCGCCGTGCCTTGCTACCATCGACTCACTGCCCTCCTTGCTCACGTGCATCCCTCGCTCCGCTGCCGCAGGTGCTCTTGGAGGAGCTCCCAGCTCTGCTGGCCAGCCTGAGCTTCAAGAAGAGCATGCGGTGGCGGTCAGACACAGGTGAGGCTCAGGCGCCTGCTGGGTGGCTGTTCCTGGGTCTGCCTCTGTTTCACTGGGCCAACTGGGCGCCCGCCTGCTTGCCATCCACCAGCTAGCCCAATCGTCCCGCCAGCCAGCCGCCAACCGAGCAGGCTCCCTCCTACCGACCCTTCCCCTGCCGCCCTCCCTTGGCTCGACTCGACCTCCCTGCCGCCTGCGCCGTGCAGCCTACTCGCGGCCGCTGCGGTGGCTGCTGGCGCTCCACGGCGAGGCGGCGGTGCCCTTCACCTATGCCTGCCTGCAGGCCGGTGCCACCACGCGCCTGCTGCGCAACGCCGACCAGCCGGAGCAGCAAGTGGCGTCGGCGGATGCTTACCTGTCAGTCCTGCAGCAGGGGCGCATCAGGTGAGTGTGGGGGATGGGGTGTTGGGGGGTGTGCTCTTTCTGGGTGCGAGATGATGTGAGGGCGTGGGGTGTGGGGCTGGGAAGGGTGACGGCGGCTGGGGCCTCAGCGCCGGCCCCCCAGTAATCACAACACACAATTGGCTTGTTCTCGGTTTGGCTTCTGAGCTGAGGGGACTGCTCGGCTACCTGGGGCGGAGAGCGAGCCGCTGCCGCTCTCAGCCGCGTGACCGCCGCTCCACCTGCCCTGCGCCGGCTGCCCTGTGCAGCCTGGGCTTGGAGGCGCGCAAGGAGAGCATCTGGCAGGCGGTGACGGCGGCGGCGGAGGGCGTGGGGGGTGCGCCCAGGCTGCTGGCCCTGTGCCTGCCCTCCCTCCCTTGACGATTCTGCTGCTACCAGCACCCCCCTTGTCCTCTGCCGCCCCGCCACCCCAACCCGGCGCCGGCCTGGCCTGCCCGCCTGGCGCCGGCCTTGCTAGCAGGGCTTGTGCCAGGCGGCAGCACCGCTGGGCCTCGCGCGCATGCATCGCCTGACGCCCTGCCCCATCCTCCCTGCCCTCCCCTGCCCCGTCCTTTCTTTCCCAGGGGTGGTCCCTGACGGCACGCGGGGAGACCTGCTGGAGGAGGTGGCCAACCTGGTGGAAAGTCCAACGGTGCTGCTGGGCGCCTTTGACGCCGCCTTCCTGGTGCTGCCCAGGTGCGGTGCAGGTGCTGTTGCAGGGTGTGGCGTGCTCGTGCGCCGTGGTATGCTGTCTGTGTGCCGTGATTTGTGGTGGTGTAGGTGATGGCCCTGGTGTGGCTGTGTATGGGTGTGGTGTGCAGGTATATATGCGTGTGTGTGCGCAGTGTGTATAGTGCTATATGCGGGATCCTGTGGCAAACGTCTGTGGTGCACCAGCCTGGCGTGGCCGCCTACCAGCCTCCCCGCCTTCCCAGCTGCCTGCCCGTCTTGACCTTCCTGCCCTGCCTCTGCCCTCCCCCCCCGAGCAGGGAGGTGCTGGTGCTGGTGATGCGCAAGCACCAGCGATACTTTCCAGTCTACAAGCACCAGTCGGGTGGGAAGCCTGGCCTGCCGCAGCCCGCCGCAGCTGCATCAGCCTGCCGCGGCCTGCTGTGCCTGCCTGCCTGCTTCCTCGCCCGCCTGCCCACTCCCCTCGCCTCGCCGCCCGCTTGCCTAGTGCTGCGTGCGCGCACGCCGCACGCTTCCCACGCGCCGCCGCCGTCGTGCACAGCTGAACTCGGCATGCCCTGCTGCGTTCCACCCACTGCCCTGCAGACGAGCTGCTGCCTTACTTTGTGACCGTGGCGAATGGGGAGGTGGACGTTCCTACGGTGCAGGTACGATGATGGTACCTTGCCAGTACCTTGACTGATGGTTCATTACCTTGACAGATGGTACATTACCTTGGCGGTACCTTGACGGTACCTTGGTGGGACCTTCCAGCCCTGTCGCCAGCCAGCGCGGCGCAGCCTT